ACATTAGCCCAGCCAGTGACAGTCACACATCTCTGCAATAACTGTTTGATTGCAAACTTGACCCTTTCTTCTTCTCAGCCTGAGCTAGACATTTTTAAACAGGCACTCCATTCCCAATCCTCCTTTGCAAAGAATTACATCAGATAACAAAGACTTCTCTGCCACTCATTGTAAGCCTTCTTCTGGAGATCTGTTCTAAGAGGCACTGTGTAAAAAGGTTTTTATGATGAATTCAGAACTACTATCATGTTAAGAGCACCAATTTATAAAGAAGAATTCATTGGTTAAGATCTGAAAAAATAGTTTCTCAGGCCCTACTGACCCAGTTTTCAACAAAAAAAGAATCAAGTGATGCAAATTAAGTTTTGAGACATTGTTACGCAGTCTGAGAAATTTGTAAAACTGTGTTTTGCAGTAATTTCTTAATAGAAGATTCAATGACTACTTAATTCTACCCTATGCAAAAAAAAAAAAAATCTTATTTCTTTATATTCTGCAGGTCTACTTTCACAGGTAATAATAAAATACACAGTCCATAGTGATGAACAGTCCAACAGCAACATGGCAATAAAATTTAACTTTCAACTGCTAAACAATACTTAGGGTTTTTGGTTTTTGTTTTTTTTTTTCTGTTAAAATGTAATACTCCTTTCATCTGATTAAATAGTTATAAAAATGTGCACACTTTCCCTGACAGGATGTATAACACTGAGCACCTACTTATATTTACTAGTAACTAAAGGAGACAATCAGATATCAATATAAAAGGTATTTTCTTCAGTAAAACAAACATGCTTCCAGCAACTCTTACTGCACATATTTTGCTTTCATTTTCACATGCTTTGATATAAATGCATCAGGTGTGAAAACAAACATTTTAAATAAATGGTAGTTCAAGTTAAAAATAATTTTAAATTAGTGGCCTTGGAGAGAGCAACACTGCAGGGTTTTTTGTCTCTGAAGACAGGAAAAACTTCCCMCAACAATACATTTAACGAACCAGAACACTTGGAATTAAAGTTTTCAGGGCACTCAAAACACACCAACTTTCACATGCATTGTTTTGAATCCTCTTCAATCTCTATCAACTCAACCTCACACAGAAGACTCAGGGACTGTGTTTTTCAAAACTTTTCCTGACAGCCCTGAAAGGCTTCAGACCAAATATGAATGATTTCAGGATCTTTTATTTCTGATTTCTCCATAGCATTGCAAAACAAAAGCGACACTTATAATAGAGAGGAGTGCTCCCCCCCACCACAATGTGCAGGATTTTTAAAAGTGAAAGTTAGGAAAATAATCTTCTTCATCCTGACATATTTTCAATCCTCTTAAAACAATCTCAACAACTATATATAGTATGAAATTAGCTCTTGCCTGTTAGCCTTGTTCCTACACAGAATTTTCTAATGTGTCTCACCAGTAATAAATTGCAAACKAGGCTATGACTCTAAGAGTAGACTGTGTTTCATGGGTATTTAAACAACAGCATTAAGTACTATAGGAATCTGTGGAATGTGGAGTGCAGATTTATGTGTCTTAACAATTTCTTTACTGGTTTGTAACAAGCCAGCAAACTACCACTATTTTTATATTAATTTGGCCTCAGAAGTGGAGTATACTGGAGCATGACAAGAACAACAAAAGTAAACTGGCATATACTTAATAACTGTAACAGTGAATTGCCTCCAATACTAAAATATTTATCGAAACTGGGGGGAAAAAAAGCTAAAAAGAATTACCCTCAACAGCCTGCAACCAGCTCTTTAACAGTGGGCAATGTAATGCCTTAAGGTACCTCAAACTGTCTTTCATTTTCTAGACTTAATGGCTGATTGCAGAAATCAATGTTGCCATTAGTAACAGAGTATTTGTTATGGCATGATTTCCTCTGTTGTTAGGCTTGCAGAATGATTACAGTATTAGTGAGGTGCTTTCTTTATAAAGGGCTGAAGATATAACTTTCAATTTACTATCCATTAGTAAGTGACTTTGGAAATATACATGAGGCCAGAAATCTTACCTGTTATTACTTGGAGATTTTATTTCAGCAGTCATAGGCTAGTAACTTTAAAAATTGTACCAGGAAGCTCAATATTTTATAGACATCTCCCATGAAATATTACYTGCTTGGCTATTTTATACACAGAAAGTTAACATGACATACAATACAATTAAAATGTTTCAGTCCAATTTCTATTTTTTTTGTACTCTCAAATGGATGTGAATTTAGCAGAAGGCTTCATATAGGCTAAAATCTACACATAAGTTAGAAGGTTGTCAAAAGGTTAGCAATTTGTATTTCTGAATCTCTTTTTAATCAGTCTGGTGGCCAGGTGCAAGGACATATCTCAGCTAAGGAACTGACGTRGCTGTCAGAGTGAGGGCAATCAGAGAGGTGAGCTGAGGTGCTGTTTATTAACTACAGCTCAAAGAAGGCATCTTTCCTCACCCTTTTACACGAAGGACAGGGAAGGATCTGCAAGAGAGACACGTGAATAGAAGAGGAGGAAAAAACCACYTTCCCAAAGGTGGAGGGAGAGGCCCTGGAAGCAGCACTGCCACTGGTGGCTGCTCAGCCCCTGCAGGGTGGGACGGTGTCAGCTGAAAGGCTGGGGAAGCTGCCCTTGGAGGGGAAAGGGTGAGCCGAGAATTAACCTCAGAGGCATTGCAGGAACCCAAACACAGATGTTCTGGCAAATAACACCTCRTCCCTGTGGGTCCAGGAAACCACCTGACACGAGAATGCATAAAACTACTTTGCTGCCGGGATTGCAAATGCAGCTACGAAGCTTTCGGTGCAGAGAGGGAAGGAGAAGGTATCATACCTGAAGAGGAGGGTGAGGAAGGATGAGGGCTGTCCTCCTGAGCGCTCCCCGTCTGCGAGAGACCCCCACCTACTCCGCTTTCTTCGGTGATGTTAGAGGAGCCCGGCGTTGTCGACCTGCTGACGGACTGCGACTCTTGATCACTTCCAGACCCACGCCGCTCATCSAGACCACCTTGAATTATGTCATCTTCTCCTTTCCTGTCTCTTTTGTGGACCCTGGAGTGAACGACCACTTGGTGGTATGTTCTAAAAACCCTCCCGCAGTCCGGGCATTCAGTTGGCTTTTCTTTTACGTTTCCATGACTTTGTAAGTTGTAATCGAGTCCCTGGTTCATACCATGTGACAAAAAATCTCTACTGCCTTCTAAAGGGTCTAGTTTGCTTGGCAAGTCTCTCTGATTGCCCATTTTAGTGCTGTGAACCAAATCAGCAGGCATTTTCTGCTTAGAGCCATCTGCTCCTACTAACACATACTCCCGCTTCTCCTTATCAAACATAACTCCAGCATTTGCCAAAGTGTCTTCGTGGCTGCGCTGTATCTGCTGCTCTTTAGACAAAAAGCCATGTTCCATGGCCATTCCCCTTGCCATGAGCTGCCAGGCCTGATAGCTGTTTACTGGATCCATCTCTGCTGCTTTGGCGGCAGCTTGTAACCTTTCTATGCAGCTGGATTTCAGAGGAGGCACCAGATTGAGACAGCCCAATAAAGAATGTTTATCCCCTTCGGCAATGCTGTGGCCAAGGCCAGAAATGGGYGAAAGGAGCTTCCCCAAGACTTCTTTCTCTTTCATGGGCATGTCTCCTTTGTTATAGATTTGATTTTGTTCACTTAAACTCGCTTTGTCGGGAGGAAGAAAGCCGCTCTGCAAACAGGACAGATATCTTGAGTACAGGTTTGCGTGAGCTTCCTGGGACATGCTGCCGATGGAGACAGGTACTTCAGGATCATTAGGAGATTTGTTCTTTACAGATAACTTGTTCAGATGAACTTTCATGTGGTTTTTAAGAAACCAAGGCTCTTTGAATCGCCTCCCGCAGATCTGACAGCAGTGTTCAAAGGAATCCTTGTGCTTTCTCATGTGGCCYTTTAGGAACCAGGCTTGGCTAAACACTTGGCCACACACCTCGCAGCGAAACTCGTTGGTGGATTGCTCCCCATTGCCGTTGGAGCCCTGGCCCTGTGCTGACTCTGCAGTTATGTGAGCCTTCTCCACGTGGCTGATCAGTTCCTCCTCCTGCGAGGCCGCAAAGTCACACAGAGTGCACTTGTAAGGCTTGTGTAGGATCCTAATGTGCCTGTCCAGCTCCTCTCGCTTCTTAAACTTGCCTTTGCAAAACGTGCATCTGAACCCGGCTGTCTGAGCCACGACTTCCTCCTGGACACTGACGGGCTTTGGAGAGGGGACAGGGTTTGAAATGTCGGGTGTGCTGTGGTTTGGTGGCACAGACAGGTTACAGTTGGCGAGCGGCATGGGCTGGCTGTGCTGCTGTGTTTTCACGTCAGGTCGCGGCTGCAAGAGGCTGCTCTTCATCTGCTTGTCCCGAAGGATTGCTCTCTCCTCCAGCTCATGTAAAAGTCTGTTTTCCTCTCGGACCCTCCCACGACCTTTGCCAAGGTTCCCAAGCTTGTGAGTACGCAGGTGTATCTTCAGGTTGCCYTTCTGAGCTGCTCTGTGGTCGCAGTAGGGACATTTGAAGGGTTTCTCTCCGGTGTGAGTTCTCATGTGCAGCGACAGGATGCTGTTAAATCGAAAGCGTTTCCCGCACAGGGGGCAGGGGTACTTCCTGTTTTTCCTGGCATCATCCTCRATGTCGCTCATCTGAGACATAATGCCGAGGTTCTGTCCATTCAGGAACTGCTGCAGGTCCACRCGCCCGTTCAGGCTGGTGTCCACCTCTCTGTTGAGCTGGTTTGCCAGCAGGGCCATCTGGCTGCTGATGGGCTGGTTTGCTATGGACATGTGACTTTTGTCTTCCAGCGGCACTGACGCCTTCTCCTCGGGGTTCTGCCTGTTCTGGAGCTCCGGGAAGGCATGGCTGAGCTGGGACGTGATCTGGTGCAGCTTCTGACTCATTGAATATTGCCCATTGAGTATGGTGCTGTTGAGATGGGCGTCAGCTTCTGGCACAGCTGAAGAAACACCAAGGCACAAACTAGCTTCCTCCATCTCTGAAAATCAGAAGATATTTGAGATTCAGACTATGAAAAGCTTACAAGTATTGAATCACTGACATACAATTTGCATTTTTTGTTTTACCTACTCATAATGATGCAAAGGAATTAGTGTAAAAACAATTAAAAGTGTATTAAGTGCCAACTGTGCTACACAATTTTGATCATACGTGTACTTTCATCATTCTKCATGTTTACCAAGAACTATTAATTACTATTTTAAAATATGTAACCAATTCAAAATCTAATTATTACAGAAGGGGCAAAGGGTGTTACCAACCACTCCCTTTGTCCTTCTTGTGAAACTACACCTGTCTAAATCTATAGAAAAAGAAATCTTATGCATCTTCCCCATTTTCATTTAAAAAGCCAGCCCAAAAAAAAATAGAAATCCATTTGTAACTTTCGGTTCCATTAACCATATTCAATATATTACACATTCTACAATAGAAAGATRGTTTTATGATTTGACAAAAAACCGATGGTATGATATTTACTGGTGTACAATAAAACAAGATAATGTTTTGGGAAAAAATAAAGGACAAGCTTTAGAACAATAAAAGGGATTTTGCTTTAGTCAACAAAAAGTGCAGTAATATCTCATTAAGCTGATTAGTATGCTGCTTAGAAACAGTACTAGGTGCTGTAACACATGATTATAATCATAAAAATCCTTCAGTGTTTGCAAGTAAGCATTAACGAGGTATATTAAATTTTAAGGAGACTGCGACTAGCAGCTTTGTAAACCTCTGAGATTAAGATTTAACCCTTCTGTTACAAAACATTGTTATTTTGTCATTTTGAAACTGAGCCCATCAAAAGGCACATAAATTATCTTCTGCCAAGTCTTTTAATTCGTMGTTGAGAACCTTCAGATTTCTGTTCCTAGGAAAACTTGCCAGATTATAGAAGGAATATCTCTGTCCTTCGATGGGTAAGACATGTGATTTAAGACASTTTGATTTGTTTTAAAGAGCTCTCTTATGGAACTAGATAAAACCAATTAAAATCTGGGGAAGGTGTTGTGGAAAGCCTCAACAAGTTTAAGAATTTTAATAACTTTCCTAATACACAGTAATGACTACAAATTGTGGCTACACTATGTATATTGCAGAAAATTAGAATTCAAAGCTGTTTGTTAAATACAAGTGCTCTGCTCTGGTCTGGGTAATTGTCCACAATAATCCATCCTTGCCACTTCTCTCTCTATACAGATATAATGTATCTATAAAATTCTGTTTAAAATATAAAGTTTCACATAACTAATTCATAAACTATATGATGCTATAAGGTTATATTAGAACATCATTAAGKTTTTTGTTGTTCAGCTGAGTGATTTGACACTTTATTCGCTCACAAAACTACTGAACTCTACACGTTCTYAAAAAATTCATTTGGTCATTGTTCTCTTTGGCTTTGGCCAAAAGCATTTTTTTACTGTGAATTCTGCAAAGGCTCCAGGCACACTCTGGGTGGACACCACTCCTCACACAGCTTCACTGTGGCCACTTGATGGACAATTCAAGGTCCAGATCTGGCACACACTTTGTRATTGTGCTCATGGGAGCAGTCCAACAGACTTCAAAGGGTGACTCTTGAAAGCAAAGCTCCAGACATTATTAACTATTTGTAGAATTAGGGCCTAAAAAAAGCCTTGGGAGGTCTTCCAGGGRAGACCTCTTTGGTCCTGAGAGGATGACTGAGGTTGTGACACAGGGCAGATCTTGTCAGAAAGGAAGAAAGAGTTATGTTCATGTGTATTAAAGATGAATGTGAGCTACGTTATTTTGCCCATATATAAAGCAGAACTTTTTCAAAATTTAAAAGTCCTCTGATTCAGGTTATATGTTGAGAACCCATTTTTTAATATGTTAATAATTATAAAAATACTAAAAAAAAATCAAATATAAAAGATAAAAATATAAAAGACCCACACTTAAGTTTAGCTTGCAGTGTCTGATTTCCAAAGGTAGGGAGTAGGAGAACTTAGTCAAGTTCTCATGTAGCAAACAAGGAAAATTCTAAATTTCCTTTTAAGTTTTCCATGCAGCAAACAACAATCATTCAAAATGTGGGTACACCCAAAAACTTATTTTATTTTTTAAATTTTTGAAAGTTTCCTTAACTTTTGGAACAAACCAAATTTCACATTCAAAAGGATTAACTAAACMACTTAAGACTTATGATGCTTAGATTTGCCATTGCCTGAACTTGACTGAGATTTTGAATATCTGTCCATGTACTTTAAAAAAAATCCAAAAATAATAATGTTGGCAAACAAGAACACAACAGTTCAAGAAATGCATGGCATCTGCAGACACACACATACATTGAAGAAGATTTAGAAAGGTCTTTGTGAATTGTCATTACTCTATAACAGCTTCAAAAATGCAGTCTAAATTTCATTTTTCCAGTTGATCTCAGTAGGACCTGGTGCCTTTACATGCTCAGAAATGTTTGGGTAGTTAATTCTAGCATTTTATGCTCTATCRAAGTTTGGAAATGCTGACAGATCCCAGTGGAATTTATTAATTCTGATGTTTAACCCTAAGCATCAGTTCAAAYGTATGGTTATTTGGATTGGGGAGGGAAGCTGTGGTTGATTTTAATTATTATGTGCCTCTTTTTCAAAGATAACTTTAATAAAGTAAYAACAGCAGTTGTAGCTAAAATGTGGTAAGTTTTTCCAGTTTTTCTTTTTTTGCTATTTTTTGTCTTCCAAAAACATATACAAACATATCATGTAGACTATAGATAAAACAAGCAAAAAAAAATAGTTTAGAGGAATACATTTTATTTTAAACACTAATAATTTTGGATCAAGTTCGGGGAACCTAAGCCCCACACATGGATCTCTTGGCATAGGAAAYGTTACATATTTTTGATTAAATATGCAGAAAGGTCAGCAAAGCCTCAGTGAGCAACAACCAGCTCCGAATGCCGCCTTYCCTGATCATCTGTGCAGTCTCTGGGATCCAGCCCCACAATCTCAAGATGAACAGTTCTTCACTTAAGCTGCATTCCCACCCTTACCTGGCCCTTCTCCTTCCTCTGGCTCTGAATTGTCTCCTCTTTTCCTCACTCCAACCTGGTTTCATTGCAAAGTACCACCACAGTATTGAAAGTGTTGTCCTGTGAAAWTTCTCCTCCTGCCTTGCCCAGTTACAGTATTTCTGAACACAGGGACCCTGCTGCTCTTCAGCTTTCACAGAAATAGCTCTTGGTATTTTTCAGCCCTTTCACAGCAAAACCTACCAAAATCTCATCCTGTATCCGCATACAAGACAGGAACAAAACTCATCTTCATCCATCATTCCACTATGAATTAGATAACTCAATCTAATTTGCCTAATTTCTCTAAAAAAAAAAAATTAGCAATTTCATTCTGTCCCTCTTTATCCATCATCCCTGWCCAGTTCTGTGACCAGACAGGGTCACACCACGTGGGGTGAGGGGTTTTCATTCCTTGGGGAGGCTCATCCAGTCCATGGTACCCTCCTTGGTGTCAAGATATTCAAAAACAAAATATCTGGAAATGTCAATTTACAAGTGCTGCTCCGTGGTAGGGAAAACATCTAGCTTTCAATTTTAAAATATATGGTCTATTACATTATTTTCATGATCCTGATCTCTCGTGTAAGGAGAGCACAGAATGTTTTGCCATCTCTCGCGCTGGGAACAGAAGCACAATGTTCTCTGTAGTTAACAAATGTTTACAAAATGAACTGCAAATCAAATTTGAGATTGTTAAGAAATTCAAAATATGTTTGTTGAAGTTTAYGGAGTAAATTTCTGACCTTTAATTCTCTCAAATGTTGTGCAAAGACAGCGTCCCTCAAGATGCAGCACCATACAGAGCACGTTGGGATCAGGAGTTGTTACGGGCTGCCCTTCCTAACCYAATAAACCCTCACTCTTGCCCAAGTGAGCTGTCCTGGCCAAAAAGCCCCGAGCTGACCCTGCTACAGCCCAGCTGGGCTCASTGCACTGGGCAGGGCAGGAGCAGCCTTGGGAAGCACCACCCCGGCCATCCGGGGCCACTCCGTGCCCAGGATCCTGCTCCTCTGAGGAGGAACTCAGCTCCTGAACCTCACAATGGGACACAGATATTATAAAAACACTCTCTCATCTCCTRCACAAAGGTACAGCGAGACATTCAGTCCCTTTGATGATACTAATAGTTATTTTGATTTCGCTCACATTTTTGCCCTCAAGACTATTTCCTGTGATATCAATAGCGAAAGTTCTGGCTTTAGCCATTTCAATTGAACACACAGATTTTATTTAACTATTTGAAATGGATTACTGGAATTTAAAACCAATTATGACACCAGAAATGCCTGTCATCACAACTACATTAATGTAATACGAGAAGCTCAGCTTCCTCTTGCTGGAAACAGAGGGGAAAAAAATATGGCAAGCAGAATGACAGAATTTAAAGATAAATCTGCGCCTACGCACACATGTAAACATATGCACACACACACACATATGTGCAGACACACACCTGTCATCTCTGTAAACAGATGGACCAAATTCAGCTCTTATTTACACCTGTTCATTTCTGCTGGACACACACACACACACACACACACTGAAGCTTTCCCCTCTTCAATGCTGTAGAGAAAACAGTCATTTTAAAACCACTGTTGTGCTGTTATTATAGCTTAGATTAGGTTAGTTAAAAGATTTACAGTTCAGTAAGCAAAGTAATGCTTTACAAGCTCACGTGTTTCAACGACAAGCTCGCTGTGGCCCTGATCCTCTAAGCAGTTAGAGCTACACACACTGTTCCTTATGCTTGCAGAATATRGACCTGGTGTTTATCTTTCCAGCTAAAAAATTCACATACATCTACATTATCTTGTGGTCCACTGGCAAATTCTAAACACTCCAATACAGACTGCTTCAGTTCTCAGCAACTCATAAACAGGTATTGCTGAGACCAGAATATATATATTGAATTTTTATTAAATATTGTTCTTATTGTTGTAGCA